TATAAAGACTTCCCATAGAGATGAATTCTGATACTGAAATGTAGTTACCTGCAATATTTACTAGAGATTTATGAGATTAAATTAAGAGATAATGTAAGAAAGTAGACTTTTCTGATTCTACATAATGCTTGATTATTCATTTAGGGACCTAGAAATATTGTGTGAAAATGTATAAATATCACCCAAAAGGCTTTCTGCCCTATATTTTTAAAATACAGAATAGTTATATTTTAAGTAGCCCCGGCCCTAGTTCTATAGGGCTTGGCTATTTAATATTTTTATGGAGAAAACATTTAGTTCTGGAAAAGGTAAATGCTTGTATATATTTTTGCAGCCTGAGATCTCCCTTACTCCATTTCTTCCTTTAATTTAAGTGGCCACATGTATATGTCTTCCCTGCTGTGTTAGGAAAATGGGGGCTGGATATCCCAAGAATCAGAGGTTTTATAAAAAATACTGCAAATAGCAGACATAAATATCTCCAAATACTATCTTAAATTTTGGTATAAGCTGAACATTTGGAAATAGATTTATTGTAAGTGTTTAATTAGAGCAATTTCTTAAATCTGAACTAAATCGCTTTGAGTCCTTTTTCTTTGTGAGCATTGTAAATGCTAATAAATTGTTTTAAAAAAATTTTTTTTTACTGCATGTTATATTGAAATAAAAACAAAGTAAAATGAGCAAATTGCCTTATTCTTCTGCTCTTTTGGGAGGTTGGGGAAAGCAGCATTTCACAGCCTAGGGGCAGTAGGGAAGGACCTCACTTGTTTAATCAAACAGAGTGCTTTAAAACTGATCCAGCCATTCATAATAATGAATTCCTACTCTGTCTTTTATGATCTTATATTGTGCAGAAGAATCTAATTTTATTAAGACTTACAATAACTCTATTTAAGATTGAGATACTCATTTTTCAGCAAGAGATTGACGTACTAATGTCAAGTCGTAGAAATTTAAGTGAAATATGACTCACCTCCCCACAAAGGTCTCATGCTAAATAAGCTATTTCAGTCAAGCCCAGTCTGCCCCTTTTTATTTATCTAATTAATAATCCAAAATGTTACCAGGGATGCCTCATGGAATTAGACTTTGCTATATTTATATTCCTCCTTGGTTTGGAATGTAACTCCATCCTTCTAAACTCCTAAGGTTAACTACTTCTATTTAATATTGTTGGTATCTCCAGCCCCCTCTTATTTGTTTTCCTTTTAGGGTTATTTACAAAATTATTTGTATATATGCTATGCTTTCATTAACTAAAAACGAAATAGCACCACTGGATTGTATATTACTGTATTAGCATTCCTTTTTTTTTTTCTCTTGAAATGTAATTTCAAATACTCAGGTAACTCTACAAATACCACAGGGAGTCAAGTGCTCTTAATAAAGGCCCTTAAGGGGGCTGCCTCACTTGCATTTCCTTAAAAGATGTAACTTTATAATTAAAGATTTTTGGTCTTTCATTTGCACATTTTTCTGTTAGTCTTGAGCAAGAAGGTTTTCCCTACCTGCATAAAAGACCAGATCGTACAGATTTCTGACTTTTTTTAAGTGGCCAGGTTACAGCCTGTCTGTTCTGATGGGTAGGTAGAAAAAAAACTATAAAGACCCACCAAGGTGATACTGGATTTGGTACCTATTGTGAAGAGAACCAAGATGAAAACATCTAAGTCAGGGCCCCAGCCATGGTGCTGAGTAGAGAAACACCAGCTAGTTATCAAGACTGACTGTTCTTTGACTAGTCAGTGTGGCTCAGTGGCTGAGCATCAACCTATAAACCAGGAGGTCATGGTTTGATTCTCCTTGATTCCCAGTCAGGGCACATACCCGCTAGGAGGTATGCAAGAGGCAGCCAGTCGATGATTCTCTCATCATTGGTGTTTCCATCTCTCCCTTCCTCTCTGAAATCAATAAAAATACCTTTTTAAAAAAACTGTTCTCAATAAGCTGTCCTGCTCATTAGCTTCAGAAGACCTTTTCTTATTGGGAAACAAGGTGATCAACCTCTTGCTTAAAGTAGAACTAGCAGCCCTGCCTGGGTGGCTCAGTTCGTTGGAGCGTTGTCCCATACACCAAAGGGTTTTGGGTTCGATCTCTGGTGCGGGCACATGCAGGAGGCAGCCAGCCGTTCAATGTTTCTGTTCAATGTTTCTTTGTCGCATCAGTGTTTCTTTCTTTCCCTCTAAAAATTAAAAACATATTCTCCGTGTGGACTAAAACTATAAAAATAAAAATTTAATAAAATAGAACCGGGAGAGAGGCTAAGGCAAGAGGGTTTCCTCAAGATATCCTACAGGTAAGGATGTGGAATTTCTTAATAAGCTGATCTAGCAGTGACTGGAGGACAGAAACTGCAGGTTCCAAGAAATACGCCCTCTCCTGTTTAATCTGCCCAATATAAGCAGCTAGGAAATTCTAGCTTCAGTGTGACTAATAAAAGGGGGAACAGGTGTCCCCCACAGCATGAGGAAATCTTCTTGGGGAAAGAAGTAATTGCTCTTACTGACCATTGTCTTTCCAGCCCCAAATCCTACAGTGAATCAAACTGGGACTCAGCTGTGGTTGACAGGCTATTTTCCCGAACTTTTAGGAAGTGTCAGATTGAGTAACACCAGAACATACTGCTGTTACTCCTAACCCATTTCACTTGTCAATTCCTATGTGTCTTTAGGGCTTCTTTGTGGTCAGGACATTTGGGGGTAGGATTCAAGGGAATTTTTGCAGTTAGCAAGGAGAGGAGGATCTTCAGTAGTGATCTCAGACAGTGTTGGTCTCTCAGGAACAGGTTCCCATTAAGCAAAGGCACTATGGGCAAGAGGATTTCCTCAAGGCATCCACAGGTAAGGATGCTGAGAATTTGCAATCATATCTGCAGATCACTGAAAACAGCCATACTGTTATTTTTCTTCATTTCTGATTCAGACCTGCTTTTTATTTGTCTTCGCTGTCCTGGCAATCAATGCCATGCCTATATTCACTTAGTCTCAGGGCAACTGTCAACACTTATTACATGTCCCAAACAGATATGTTACATGCAGTCATTTAGTCATCCCGGTCATTCTCAGAGATAATCACCTGTATTTTACAGGTAAGAAAATAAATACTCAAAGTCATTAACTTGAAGTGTCCACTGCTATTTAGTGGCAAGAAGGCAAAGTGGAATCCAGAACTGACTCCAAAGATTGCAGGGTTAAACGTTTTGCTCTATTGCTACTCACAAACTGCAATTCTTGGAGTCTTCTGTAACTTATTCAGCTGTTCCATCTAATTGGTTTCCAAATCCTATCAAATCCATCTCTAAAACTTGAATAATTTCTCTCAGAGCTGCCTCCATTGCCACAGCCCACATCTTTACTCCTACCCTGGTTGAGTGTAGAAACCTGTCATTGCTTCCATTCTCTCCCTTCCAGTCCATCTTGTGCTGCCTGGAAATGGTCTGTGGGAGACCTCAGTCTCGTGCTTCTTCCGTGCTTAAAATCTTAGTGATTCCTCCATGACTACAGAATAAACTCCAAAACTCCTAAGCCTGCCACTTAGAACCAACAGCTACCTTTAACTCCTTCCCTCTCATTCTGGCTCCAGTCCTATGAACGATTGGCCAGTTTCTGTTTTGCTTCTGTGATTGTGATTTGTTAAATCCTTTCACCCCTTAGCCTGGTTCTCCATATAAGTAAGATGGTGATGAACCCTTGTGTGCTTATTTTCTGGAATGTTTAGAGATCCAGTCTGCAGCCCTTACAGAGAACAGGACTGTTGCAGGTGATACGGAGTTCCTGCACACACTTTACTCAGCTTTTCCAAATGTTAACATCCTGTATAACTTGGAACAGGTATCAAAACTAATGACACTATAAACTACAGCCTTAATCAGATTTCACCAATTTTTCCACCAATGACCTTTTTCTCAGTATCCTCCAATCTGTGCCTTCATTCTTGTCTTTCATGACCTTGACATTTTTTGAAGAGTACTGTCAGATTCTTTATATAATGTTCCTCAAATTTGGTTTAATGTTTTCTCCATAGTTAAGGCCATAGATTTTTGTGAAGAATACTACAGAAAGGATGTGCCCTTAGTGCCCGATAACGGGGGCACACATCAATCTATATCTCGTTAGCAGTAATGTTAACCTTGATCCTCAGTTGGTGTCTGCCAGGTTGCCTTACTGTCGTCACTATCCAATCCTTTTAACTGTAGTACAGACACCCCTGGAAGGAGCACCAAAACCTTCCCCAGTTAAGAGAGGCTAAAGTAGAATTAAAAAATTGGAGTTAGCGCATCTGTGTTGAATTTAGCAAGCTCCAGTGCCTCAAGAAAAAGCATTTGTAAAAAGGGATGCTGAGGCTCCTGGAGATAGCATGGGCCAGTAACGAGACACAAGGTTCACTAAATGGCAATTTATTTCCTGCTAGAAAATCCAGACACCTTTGTGGTCTTTGAGAGTAGATTGCTCAAGAGTGGGAAAAGGAACAACATAGGGCTTTCGAAAGAAAGGGGTCCCTTTTAAAAGTGAGAAGGGGGAGGTAGCGAGCACAGATGTGAAGTGGCTTCTTCAAGGTAACATGGGTGGGGCTGAGCTCGGAGTCCTCCGACGGCCGACTCCCAGGCTAGCCCTACCCATTTCCTATCTGAGCCTGCACGTAACATTCCCAAGGGGTCGCGCTGATCTTTCCCGCAACTTCGGCGCATTTGGGCTCCGCGCCTCACTTTGCCTCAATAGGGACGCAGAGGGGGTGGGGGGCCTCTCAGCGATTCCTTCCTCGCCTTCATAATCGCCCACCACCATCCACTCGGGGCTTTCAAAGCCAGTTCAGACTTCGGTTGAGAGTTGAAAGTCTCTTCCGACACTGCAAACCAGCATCTTTAGGGCACAACGGGAGTGGGGAACTTTCCGTAGCTGAAGGGCTCCTTCGCTCTTCACTTTGGAATGGCGCAGGGCAAATTCCCACGAGCCCTGGGAAACCAAAGATCTGCCTGCCCCCTCACGCTGATTCCTGATTGGTCACTAAAGCTGTCTGTTTTGACTTGGTGATCTGCGCAGGCGCAGAAACGCAGCGGGCCTGGGCAGTGTTGACGACGCGGAGCTACCCGATCCGTCCGAAATGGTGAGTGTTCGTGTAGACTAGTGGCTGGCAGCCGGAAGGTGGCCGAGCGATGCCGCCCCACACCTTGCGCCTGGCTTTAGACCCTCCGGGGGCGCCTCAGAGCGCCGGGCAGGGAATCCGCGGGTTTGGAGGGCGGAACGCTAGAGGCGTGGGCCTCCAGTCCTTGACGGAGTGGACCCCGGAGGGGGCAGCGGATCCCGGTCCCCTTGACCGGAAGCTGGAGCTCGGGCCTTGGCTAGGGTCTGACGGCGTCGGACCACAGGCCCCTGCGTCCTAGCATCCTGGGCCTTGTCGCGCGAGTGTAGCAACGAGAACCTTTCCCGGAAGCTTCATTGATGACAGGCAATAAGCGCTGTACGTAGTTTGGTTTTTCTCCTCACCACGTCTCTGTGAGATGGGTACGACCCTGATCCCCACTTTACACACTAGAGATTGAAGCCTGGGGAAGACCATGATCCCCATTTTACACACTAGAAATCTAAAACCTGGAGAAGCCTAGCGCCTTCTCAGGAAATGGCGGAGTTGGATTTGAACCCTTGAAACTTGACTCCTGCCTTTCTTTCGCGTCGCTGGGACTTGGTGCAGGAATCAGAAACGGGCGTGACCACTCTTGGGGATCCCTGCCTTGCTGGCTGGAACTGTTTTTTTATATTTTATTGATTTCTTACAGAGAGGAAGGGGGAGAGAGAGAATTAGATATGTGCCCTGACTGGGATTCGAACTGGTAACCTCCTGGTGTTCGAGTCCATGCTCAACCACTCATCCACACCTGCCAGGCCTGTGTTATGTTTGGAATTGCTCTTTTGCCCATTATATTTGATGCAGATGTTTTTCTATCCTTTCGATTCATTTTGATTTTATAAAAATTGAAATTTTTGCCCAGCTAGAGTGGCACAGATGGTTGAGCATTGTCCCGTGAACAAAAAGGTTTCAGGTTCGATTCCTGTTCAGGGTACATACCTGGGTTGCAGGTTTGATCCCGGTCAGGGAGCGTATGGAAGGCAACCAATCGATGTTTCTCTTGCTCTCACTCTCTCCCCCCATTTTCCTCTCCTCTCTCTCCCTCTCTGTTCTCTCTGAGCATGTCCTTGGGTGAAGATTAAAAATTTTTTCAAATTTTTATGGTTAGTAGTTAAATTGATCACAGTTCCCTTGTGAATTATTTGCTTCAGATAGTTATTTCTCTTATGCTGAACCAGTAAATAATCCTGGAGTTTTACTGCTACTTATTTTCCCATTTGTCAGCAACACACACCTGGAACAGAAACCTGGAGTTTTGTCCTTTCCCTGATGCAGACACTCATGTTGATAGTACTGCAGAACCCGAATGCTGAGGGTACCAGTTGGGCCCTCTCTGTGAGTTCACCCTGGGGGGCTGCATATCTACTTAGATATTTCTGGTACCGGTAGGTAGCACTCCAGGGATAGCAGACTGGATTTGAGGCAGAGCTGGCATGACTTGGATGCCTAACTAGAACTGTCCTTTTCCATCTTCAAATGTCCTTATTGGGGTATGTTAATTTTTTGGCAACATTTGTTTTCTTTGTTGGCACCTGTTGGGTGGTATTTGAAGTTTGTTTTAAGCAGTTTCTCTGAGCCCTGACAGGTAGCTATTGCCCTATGCTTCATGCACTCCTCTCTAGACCTCATGGCCCCCATTTACCTAGCCTAGCTCCACTCTACTGGTTGGGATCAGGTTGGAGAAGCTATTCTCTAGTCTTATGGAGGGGTGGGGAGGAATTTTGACTACATAAAAATTTTTAACTTCTGATTACTGAAAAAAATCACAAGATTAAATGAAAAAAGTGGGAGAAGTGTAATTTATATGATACACAAAAGTGTATTATTTCTAACATACAAGAGTTTTTGAAAATCAAAAGACTCAAAAGAGCCGAACCGGTTTGGCTCAGTGGATAGAGCGTCAGCCTGCAGACTGAAAGGTCCCAGGTTCGATTCCATTCAAGGGCATGTACCTTGGTTGCGGGCACATCCCCAGTAGGGGGCTTCCAGGAGAGCTTATTTAAATGTTTCTTGCTCACCA